AAATCTAATAAGTTAATGTAGTTATTAAATTTAAAAAAATATGGTTTAATTGTTACAATTTCAGCGAACTGGAACCGTAATAAAACCGTATTAATTAATAAAATTACCATTAATTAAATAAAATTAGTCTCAATTTTGATACAGCTGTATGACGCTTAATTTATTTTATAAACTAGATCGAGTTCTATAAATAGATGAAATAGACGAAACTAAAGTTGCAAACGTTTCTGTTCCGACACAGGTTGTGTTACACGCAACGCTCTAGAATGCTCTCGCAATAGAACCGAAATTGACACCGCTTCCTATTAGATACAATGTGTAATTAGGTGAGTACAGTCGCGATCGCCTACACATTTGCCTTTAGTTGACACATTTGCCCAGGACTGTACTTCGAGTGTTCTCTGATATTCAAGTGCAGTTTTTCATCTGGCACATACGTTAATCTTTTTTTGTTCTTCGGATAGGTAGAGACAATACAGTGTTGTAAATTTTAAAGTTTTTTATAGTGCGAATCTCTGCACTTAAGATTGAATATTAAAACATGTAGAAAAATTGAAAAGATTGTCGCAGCTGTGGGAATCGAACCCACGTCTTCGGCATTCGCAACAGTATTAAGTTTGGCAACCTATCTGCAATCGCACCGGTAATATATGTAGTAGTGCATTAGCGACGGCAATCAATATTGGGGGAACTACCTGCTACTAACTGTATTATGCCTTCATAAAAAAGCTACCAAATGCGAGTTGGACTCCCGCATTAAGGATTCCGTACCATTCTATAAATACATAACTATAAAAGGGACAAAAAATCGTGTCTGTTGTATCGGTATTATATATTACAATGTTTTTTTCATTCTGGTTTTGAGTATTTGTTGTTATAGCGGCAACAGAAATAGATCATCTGTAAAAAATTCAAATGTCTAACTTTCACGGTTCATGAGATAGCCTGGTGACGGATGGTCAGACAGACAGACAGACAGCGGAGTCTCAGTAATAGGGTCCCGTTTTACCCTTTGGGTACGGAACTCTAAAAAAGATTACTGCTGTTGATTATTCGTATCATATAATTTAAGAGAACAACCGACGCATTTAAATTACTATACACAGCAGCAGTCCAATGCAGTTATTTTCAAATCGCTATAACATTAGGTTCGGACGGTAACTTATAACTGCGGCAATTTAAAAATATTAGTCACAGATTCATTCTGTTACAAGGCCACGCCGACAGTGATCTTAATTGTCAGTGATTAAATCAACGAGGCAGCGATAAAACAGTTCCCGTGGCATCGTAAGGTGATTCGTTTTCTTAACCTGGTGACGTGCACAAACAATTTACTTTTTCGAATTTCTTATGCGAAATTTAGCATAACTCAGTTGGATTTGTTGTTGCGTGAAAATACTCGAAAACATACGGCGGCCTCAGCGGCGAAGAGTAGACGCATTTATGACATTTATGTAACGGATATTAGTGATGTCTGTAGACAGTTAGCCTGTAGGCAGTGGTTATCGTTTACTAGCAGGCGGGCCGCTTACACATTCGCCTCCGCTATTTATAAAAAAGAAATAGATGTTGGAATACGACGAGTCTCAGTTATCACGTGGGATTTTTTCAAGCTCGCTGAACGTCAACAAAGCCCTGTCTATCTTCTAAAACAAAAAACCGCGTGAGATTCTGTGTCGTAAAATATTATGTTGGAATTTTGTTCCTTCATCGTTCGTAATAACGCTGGAAGTAATACTTTATCCTCCTGTCACACGTGCGTAACATCTACATTGTTCATTGTTTTTGGGTTCCGTACCTAAAGGATAAAAGAGGACCCTAATGCTAAGACTCCGCTGTCTGTCTGACTGTCGCCAGCCTGTTTCTCATGAACTGCGATAGTTAGACAGTTGAAATTTTCACAGATGATGTATTTCTGTTGCCGCTATAACAACAAATGCTAAGAAACAGAATAAAAACGTATTTAATTGGAGCTCCGAACAGACCAGATTCTCCTGCCATTTTTATAGATAACGGTACGGAACCCTTTTTGCGCGAGTCTGACTCACACTTGGCCGGTTTTTTTTCTATTGACATGACTCAACCGCGACGTAACCTGCTGTGTTTACGTTTTTGTACGCATCAGGTATCTCTACATCTTTATTATCTGTTACCACGCCATACTTTACATTACTCCGAAACGGTTACGATAGTGTTAATAACCCCCAAATGATACCTTCACTATGTGTTTTATCTACTAGCCAAAAATGCCATTTAAATTGTGCGTAAACCATTATATCTATATACTATTGATGGATATGTTGAATTATTCCAAATTATTTTATTTTATACATATTTAGAGGGCTGGTTTTACTTCCGATATTGAAAAGAGTTTAACTCCGAAGGCAGTCCGGCTTTATAAATGTTTAAGATTGTAGAGGTCTTTTAAAGTGACAAAATTTGGAAGCATTAAAGTTTCCGCCAACCCGTATATGAACTTATCTGACTGGCCGAGTCATTTAACAGATTAAATTATGTATGGGATAATACGGGACAAACAACCATTATCGCAAATGTGTCTGTTTAAATATTATATATTTTAAATGTAAATTAAGCTAGCTTAAGTTTAATAAAGCTTATTCGAATTTCGTCTAGCAGCAGGTAATAACGATTAAGCAATTGATACAGTTTGGTTACGTCTCTAAATACCTTTAAGTGGAGGGTTTTCAAGAACTAGCGAGTTTTTGAGTTAAAGTGACGGGCTTTTTACCTGTTAGTTAAATTCAGATGCTCCCTGTCCTTTTAACTACGGAAAAGTACATTATAAGTGTAATGAGTTTTTCCATAAACTGTTTCAGATTAAGAGTTTTTTCTTGTTCAATGAATTCTTTGACGTTATTTAAAGGAAGTAAAGAAATTAGCGGTTAAAATGTGATATTTTCATTGCTAAAATTTAACGTGCCGACAACGCCGTTGAGTGAGATTATACCGTTTCTATATAAGGGTAAAAAACAATTTTGTAAATAAGGCGACATTGGAAAGTCGGAAACTCGCAAAAGACGATTGTTACGTAATAGCGATCAGCATATGGAAGTATAACGGAACCTGGTGACCTACAAAATACAATTATCCGAAAAATATTTAACGTTCTTTAGTTTTCGCATTACTTTACTACGAGGCAATATCGATATATTTATAAAGTTTTATATATGTACGCTCAAGCGACCTTATTTTATTAAAAAAATATGACTTCGCATAAATTATGCTAAATGTTGATGTGACCAAATGTGCTAAAAAAAAAAGTAAAATCAAGTAACAGCCTATAGATATAACATGTAATGAGGAATAGCGGACTTCACATATTTTTCGAATTATTTTTTTGTTATTATTTAGAAAATATGCAGGTTTCCTCATATGCAGGGTATTTTCCTACACTGCTGAGCACTTGATAAGTCCGCACTTAAAATCAACATTTTCATTGGTGCTGGCACCGGGGATGGAACTCAGGTTGCTCGAGTAAATTGAATTAAAGCCGAACGCCCGGACACTGAGCTATCACGGCTCTTCTCCCAAAAAAATCAAATATGCTGAAAGTTACTGTCATAACTAACACAAAGATTTTGGCCATTGATGTATTTAAAAAAATTACATCTGCGTTAAATTGAATTTTTTCAACAATTATAACATAAAAGGAGGTAGATTACCAGGAGACAAACTAAGAAGAACTAACTATCGACTGAATTATTTTCCATAGTTGAGAAAAAAATTAATACAATATTCATGCTCTATTTCATAATAAACTCAACGTTTTGGTGAATTGGGTGGTGCCATTCTTCTTATACGATATGCATATACCATTCCCTTTCTTTGTATGTTTAGAGTTTGAGTGCATAATAAAGAACGCATATTATTTTTATATTACCTCATTTCATTACATAGGTCACCTAACACAGCAGTAACGCATTTGGCATTTGTCGAATCAACGTGGGCTTTTTTTTATTGACTGATGTTTTTGCTTTCAGTCCCGAGACTATTAAAGCTTACGTGGGCTGTTAAAACGTATCGTTCCACGAAGCAAGCGGTGCAGGGACCAGAAGAGCGGCCCTCCGATTTCGAAGTGCGCCGATGGAAATTATAGGGGTGTGAGTAACGGTTAACGAGTGTTTTAACGGCCCGCATGCTCTTAAGCCAATTGGTCATTTCCTCCGCGACAGACGGCGGCTGTTCAGCGGCTCGTTATTACGTCGCTTTTTGTTCACGCGACGGTCATCTGTTGCGACGGAGCTGAGAGCGGAGTGAGACATTACTCGTGAAACAGTCTGAGTTAATTTCATTATTGAGCACAAATGACATTGGTGTTTCGTGTTAATAAATAAGATTATAATTTCATGAGATTACATTTTCAATTCATGTTAATAAATAAGATTTTTTTAACTTAAAGCATCTATGTGATGGTAAATAGTTATATAGTTGTAGTCTCGTTCAATCAGTAAAATAATTGGCTCTGTAACAGCATTACTTTCTTCAAGACTCTTACTAATAGAAGTATCATCTACGGTACAACGTTTTTGGTGACGCGATTAGAGATTACGAGAGTTGATTTTACCTAAAACAATTGAAAACAATTCAGGAATATGCGTTGCAACGATAGTTGTAAAATATTATTTGTACTTGTTGCTTGTGAAAACTTTATTAAAAAGTATGCTCGTTTTTTATTTGTAGGTACAAGAGGATTTTAAAATCACTCTTGTTGGCGGAAGGTACACACCTCTAATTGCGTCTTAAAATTTTCTGCCACGCTCGTTTGTTCAGTATTCTGTAGTTGTTATGAGGTTCTTGAATTGAGGTGTTGCAGAAGCAGAATTTCAGGCTCGATATGAATTCGTGACCTACGAGAAGAGACTATTCCACTTTACAGGCTGGCAACACTTTTGCTATACCTCAGCTGGCAAAACCACCACCAGGCCTAGCTTTTCGACGACGTTAACTGGGGATCTTTAAAAATAATTACGGCTACTCACGTTAAAATCCTTCCAGCCTCGGGGTTCCTGTAGATGTCGCATTTGTGCAGAGGTCGCGAGGGATCCCCGGGGATGAACTGCCCAGTCCTGGTGCACAGGGCTCTGTGGATCTGGAACTGCAGGATCGTGCTCACGAAGTATCTGCGGGAGAAATATTCAACATATTACCTTACTTGCTGCACAAATTTAAATTGGAAGGCTTTATTTGTTGTCTGTTTCTTGTCCATCAGCCTTGTTGCGAAACGGTGGCAGATTAAAAAAAATACTATTGATAGATGAAATGTATGTTTCATATGTCGATTATTAAATGATTTTGATTTCGATTTATATGGTATAGAAAAATATCGATAAATCGTACCAGGCTAATAACCAGTCAATTTTTTCTTCTCAAAATCTAAATACCTTTACTTAGTAATTATCGTTTCGGTTATGTTACTCCAACGATTAAAAATATTTGTATACGAAAAGTAAACGATTATCCAAATCTCATTTAAATCCATACGACCACCGTTGAGTAAAATCGGGTCAAAGACACGCACGTCATCATTAATTTCGCAATTTAATAATAAAGGTATTCTGAATATTTTTTAAGCATAGGCAGTTTTTCCATTACAACGTGATTTTTTCAACCCATCAAGATGCAATAATATAACCATTAATGTGGAAGTAGTGAAAGAAGTTGTAAATATAAATCGACATCAGCTTAAGTTTCATCAACGTTCATATCTACCGTGTACCGTTTGAGTTTAAAGTTCTTCGCAAGTTGCGCATAATTACATTCTTTCATAACTTATAACAATATAAACAACCTATATCTTATTATACGTTCCTACGTAACCTGTATCTTATTATACGTTCTTTTGATACAGATTAGTTTTCTATCTGTAGATCTCTGAATCATCATCATCAACCTCCTGCCCCTATCTCACCTAGGTGGGGTTGCAACAACATGTGAATCATGTTGCAAGCGGTTTTGGCTATGTATTTTTACGACCGGCGGCTTGCCTGACGTCAACCCGTGTCACACCAATATTCCAATACCAATAGCTTAGCAACGGTCCTATCGCGATCTCCTCTGAATACGCTGATAATTAGAGTCTTGTCCGTCATCAAAAAAATGCAACTGCCTTAGTCAATCGCGATTACAGCATTATCTGCATGCGTTTTAGATAAAATTCAATAAGCCTGCAGTTAAGCTGTTTACGGAAAACACGTTGCGGATATATCTAGGTCAGATTTAGCATTTCTACTGTCCTATCGAGAAACTTTCGCGGGCCGAATAAATTATTTCGCAGCATTGTAATTGCGTTAATCAACGCTCTAGCAGTTGCCTAATTGGATTTGCGAATGGAGGTGGCAGGTTCGATACTGAAATGTAGACGGAAAATTCATCTGTCTTTTCTATTTTCTATTATAGTGATGTATAAATTGTTGTACATTTTATTTTTATAGTATATTGAAATGCAAGCATCAGCATTACCAGTAATGCTTTGTTATTGTTTAATTAATTAACAAAAAAAGTCATTGTCAGTGTGACAAATTTTTAATTTTTTTTTACACGAGAAGGTGGCAAACGAGCTGGCGGTTCACCTGACGCTAAATGATAACCACCGCCTGTTAACATTTGCAACACCCATAGGGTTGCAGATACATTGCCACTATTTACAGTGAGCCCCGGTTACGTCACCCACCAGAGGAAACGCAGAAGTATAACACTTCCACTTGACGCCGGTCTTCTGTGAGGTCGTGGTACTTACCCGGGCGGACCTACCTATTCGTGCAACAGAGATAAATTGTATGTCTGAATTAAGTAAGTCATTGACTTCTTGAAACCCTACTCGTTTGAATATAGATAACATTTACGTAATTTCTACAGCTGGAAGAGTTTTTATAGGGTCGACAAAGCGATTATGGTCTTCATTTACGATACATTTTTCTGTCTTTAGAAGACAAACATTACGAATCAATATGTTTCTCTTCATCATAAGCATATTGTAAAGTTGAAGTTATAACACAAGCGACAGTTTTATACATAGATGAAGAACTGTAAATCGATGTTTCAAACCCGTATTAAAACTGAGTTTAAAAGACTTTGAGTTACCTAAAAGCCGTTCTTATAACTTGTTATAATTCATTATAAGTAAGCAAGTAAGACACCTTTGTAATTAGTAACCTGATGTATTTATGTCAGTTGTTAGTCAACTCGACAAAAGGTCGAGCCATTTACCACAAATTTTTGCGTTAACATAGGTATGATTTATGAAGGCTAATTATTTCGCGATAATTACCTAATGATCCATCACCGTTTCAAAATGTTTTCAGAACCGGTTTTGTTATTACTCACTTCAATAATCGATTGTGGGGCAAAATAAAGTACTGTTAATTATTTCATCGATGCACATCAGCAAACGTTATTTTTTATTCGTTAGTAAATATTATATGAAACTAGTTTATGCCCGAGCATTTCTCTCATCATCTTGAGTACTTAGAGTGCTTGGGTACTTATTGGGGATTATCTATGGCCTTTGAATCCTAAAGTAAACGAATAGTTAATATATGCTAAAACCATGTCTACGTTTATAAGGATTTTAACAAGCCAAGTAATCTAAACAACATCGAAAATATGTGTTGAAATGAGCATAACTTATCATTAATGTATAGCTCTAGGCCATGGATCGTAAATTCTATTTCGCACTTGTGAAATGTCGTATAACACGGCCTCAGAGGACCGACGCCAAATGTAATTATTGTACTGTTGCGTTTTGACTGGTGACTGGGGCCGACCCTTTTTAAAGTTAGCAACGTATCTGCGTCCCCAAGGCGTCGACGACTGCCTGCCTGCCAACTAATCTCATAAACATTTTTATATGATAGTAGTTGACCCGTCAAACGTTGTTTTGCCATATAAATTATTTGTAGTAGGGTAGAAAAAAACGTTTGGGGTGGACCACCCTTAATATTTAGGGGGATGAAAAATAGATGTTGTCCGATTCTCCACCTTGGCCGATATGCACACAAAATTTCACGAAAAGCGGTGGAGCCGTTTCGGAGGAGTTCAATTACAAACACCGTGACACGAGAATTTTATATATTAGAAGATCTAAGGGAGATATGAGAACAAGCTGATTTATGTAGCATACAGTTATGAACTGTAATAATTTTTGTCCGTTTTTCCATTACAAGTGGGCCATTAAGAGCGTATATGCTGAGCTGATGTGTTAAACACCTGACACTTCATCACTGACACCATCTGCTGTTATAAAAGTCAAGCTTATGCCAGGTCTCAATAAAATTTGCATGTAGATTTAGCGAAAATTGAATCTGTAGACGTTTTATCCAAACTTCCGTACCTAGAACTTGTATGGTAAAGTACAGCGACCGCTGATTCATGTGTGGTCAGTAAATGTCGTGACCACAGCTCCTGCCTCTTATCAATTTGTGTTATGTAATTGCCACTTACATATTTGTAAAGTGCCCACGTTTTTAGGGTTCCGTACCCAAAGAGTAAAACGGGACCCTATTACTAAGACTCCGCTGTCTGTCAGTCTGTCAGTCCGTCTGCCACCGGGCTGTATCTCATGAACCGTAATTGTTAGATAGATGAAATTTTCACAGATGATGTATTTCTGTTGCCGCAATAACAACAAATACTAAAAAATAGAATAAAATATATTTAATTGGGGTTCCCATACAACAGTCATGATTTATTGCCGTTTTTGTAGATAATGGTACGGAAACCCTGCGTGACCGAGTCCGACTCACACTTGGCCGGTTTTTTATTGTTTGCGGAACCTTAAGCGCGTACGAAACAGGTTGCGCTTGTTGCCAACATTAACATCATTGTGCTGACAACCTGCGATGCAGAATTAAATTATATCGTTATGAAACTGTAACATTCTAGTATTTAAATGTTGGTCAAATATTCATTTCGATTGTGCGAGATCGATAATAGTCTTGATGCAAGGCTCATATTAAAATTGGCAGCTTCGACGCTATTGACTGAATTTAAGGAATATTTCAATTTTACTCATCTTTATGCATCACCAATTTTCCTTTTAAAAATGAAAATAGTAATAAGTCATTTGATTTACTGTTAACCCAATTGTAAATGATATGCGATTACTATAAAAGTAAAAAGTAAAGTAACAGCCTATACAAGTCCCACTGCTGGGCAAAGGCCTCCTCTATATAGAGGGTATCAGGGCATAGTCCACCACGCGGCCCCACTGCGGATTGGCGGACTTCACACATCTTCGAATTTTTTTTTGTTATTATTTCGAAAATATGCAGGTTTCCTCACGATGTTTTCCTTCACCGCGGAGCACGTGATAAGTCAGCACTTTAAGTTAAAAACTTCATTGGTGCCGGCACCGGGGATGGAACTCAGGTTGCTCGAGTATTTTGAATTAAAGGCGAGCGCCCGGACACGGAGCTATCACGGCTCTATACAATTTTTATATTAGAAATTATTATTCTGAAGTGTCTACTTTTGTTGTTTTTTGTCTTATGTGAAAAATTGCCAAATGAGCTGGCGGTTCACCTGATGTTAAGCGACAACCGCTGCCCATGGATATTTGCAACACCCTTAGGATTGCAAAAGTGTTGCCGCCTTTAAATAAAGTGGGCCCCGGCTACCTCACTCACCAGACGAAACGCAGAAGTGTAACAATTATACTTTACGTCGGTCTTCTGCGAGGTCGTGGTACTTACCCGGACGGACCTGCCCGTTCCTGCAAGAGCGAAGACTGTTGCGTGGCCCTACCAATGCCAACCAAAATTTATAAGCATATTGTAAAAGTAATACTACTCAGAAAAGCCTGTGTAGTTACTACCCAGAAAAGGCTGTGTAGTTATTAAGTTTTTTCATCTCAATCTCATTTTAAGCCACAATTGCCAATTTACTTTGTAGTTATCGTTTTATTTTTTTATTTTTTTCATTTAGCCACTTTATTTTTGTTACTAGCAATGAGTCTTCACGATGTAACTAAACACCTATCGCAAATCTGGCAGCTCTGGCTCCCAAGATACAAGCACTGCTAAGTTTGGGATCCATTGTTAATGTTTCGTAGTTTGAGGTTAGTTACAAAATTTTGTAACTAATCTTCATTACTATTTTCTTATTTTTAAGACATGTATTGTAAATTACTTTTGCATCTACTTAGATAAATAAAATAAAATAAATGAATTGTAAAAGTAATTCAATTCTTGATTGCGGTATTTATAATATCAATTCTTGATTGATGCGGTCCTGGTAAAACAAAATAAGAAAATCTAACCTCGGGAAGAGATGTTGTTATAATAATAATAATAATAATAATCGTTTATTGCCAAGAAAAAATAGATTGTACAATAAATTTAAATGCTCAACAAAAAAAAAGAGAATTTAAAAAGAACATTAACAATATTATATAAAGACAAAAAATTCTACAAAAATATTAAAATTACTTAGGGATTTAAAAAAAAAGAAAAGCTCCTTGGCAAAAGCTGAGTTTCCACCATTTACACTTATAACCTGTGTTTACAATTACACTTATAACCTGTTGGTTATAATTGTAATTTGTAGCAAAGCATTAACAATTTTGTTTAATGTTACTTAAGCGCTATTAAAAATTTCCAAGGTCCACACAGGTCTGGTTGCCCGTCTGTAAACACTGTACCCGCGACAGTTCGTTGCGAAATGACCGTTTGCTTCAGTCCAAATTTAAGTCGAACACACAATTATGACGCCTCTTACACAAAGTACAGATTACATAATTAAAAATGGACCATTACATGTTATGAAAAGTC